TTTTTTGACTGGTCAAAAAAAATCATTGTTAATGTGAGTAAAATTACTTTTATTTCTTCAATAATTGCCATAAAATATTTAGAATACAACAAATTCGAGTTAGATTTTAAAAAAAATGTATTTTATAAAGGTATTTCAGGCTGAGATAGCACTTAGAGACTGACAATTTTTTTTGTGAGTTTTTTTTAATTGTATATTTTTAACAGTTATTTAAGGTGGTTGATTTTTCCCCCCATAAGAAGCATATATTATAAAAAAGATAAAGGACTGTCTAAGGGTTAATGTTTCACCTTGTTATCCTGAGATGTTTATTCATATTTCATTACTGATTAGCCGGTGGGAAGATTGAACTGAACTGTGTTTGTGCAGGCCTCCCTTCCTTCTGTTCAGCGGTGGCATGCCCAGGGCCAGCTACGGGGACCGTCACTGTATCACAGTGATCCACAGGAAAATACACGTGGCCTTAGACTTCACCTCCAGAATCATTGACTTCTTTGTCATCAGAGATGGACCGGAGCACACAGGCAGGCTACACACGGCACAGACACAATCCTTCATTGTACATCAGAGACTTTAGAATCACTTCAGTACAAATCCAATTCCAAAGAATAAAAACGGAATACACTGAGTCTTATTAGCCCATTTTATAAAAGCAGCAGAGTAGACGAACCTCAGCTGCCTGAGGCAAATAACCACTTATCCTGAGCTTGGTTTTGGTACTGCTGGAGGTTTCCTCCTGTTTAAAAGTTAGTCATTCCTTTCCACTGTCACCAATGTGCTGCTCGGGTTGTGAGGTAGATTGTTATGAAGTGAAAATGAAAACAATCTGCTGGCTTCTTTAGATAACGTTTTGTCAATTGGTTAAATGGTAAATGGACTGAATTTACAGTTATAGCACTTTATTAAGTTAATACAGATATCAAAGTGCTTTACACCCACAGACATTCATCCATTCACACACTGATTGTGGTAAGCTACACTGTAGCCACAGCTGCCTTGGAGCACCCTGACAGACCAGACTGAATTGGACTGTATATTGGTGAGAATATTTTTGTACACTGCCTTAAGATGACTTTTGTTGTCAATTGTTGCTTTATAATAGGGCTGCAACTAACGATTATTTTAATAATCGATTAATTTGTTGATTATTTTTTTCGATTAATCGATTTATCGGCCAAATCATTAAAACACTTAATTACAAAAATATAAGTAGATATTAATTAATTTATTTCTTGTATAAATTAGGGATGCAAGTTATCAATTAATGTGAAGTTGTCTGAAGTTGATTTATCTTATAGATTGACCAATGATTAATGGATAAACATCCATTTTCTTAAAAACCAGATTTTTCTATTGAATCAAGAGGGTCTTTTCATAAAATGAAGATTTTTTTCATATGCTAAATTTAAAAAAGAAGCACATCAGCCGTATTAAACACTGACTGGAAAAAAATGCGAAAGGACACTCTCCCTATTTGGGATCCTCGGCAGAGCAGGCTGGGTTGCCTTCAAAGTCAGAGAGCCAACATGCAGGAGGCAGTTATTGTTAGCTTTCTGCGGCTGTTACGTGATGCACGCAGCATGTGAGAGTGAGACCAGTGCTGAAACTGGTACATTTTTAACAGGCCGAGTGGTACTACTGCAAGCATATAAGCCATCATGCCCATCAGCTGGAGGATGGTCTGAAAACACAGTTTGCATCCCAGTTTAAACTGAGTGAGGCAGGGGTGAAACACGGCTACAATGTTCTCTGAGCGACAAGCCCTGTTTGATAGGGAGCAAATTTCCATTTCAATGAAGTTAACCAGCAGGTTAACAAGCTTTTCTGAAAATTCATAAAAACCCTAGAGCTTGAAATTGCTACAGAACCTGAGACAGTTGCTCTGTTGCCTGCTCCTTGGAGCTGGCTATCAGACCCCAGTTGTCCAGGTACGCTAACTGACAGACTCCCTTTTCTTTGAGAATCAGAATTCTCTTTATTGTCCGTCCATCCATCCATCCATCCATCCATCCATCCATCTTCTGAATTCATTTTTTCTACATTCTTATTCCTTTCAGGGTCAGGGGGGTCACTGGTGCCCATATCCAGCAGTCACAGTGCGAGGGGCGGGGTACACCCTGGACAGGTCTCCAGTCCATCACAGGGACACATGGAGACAAATGAGACAAACAACTATTCACTCTCTCACTCACACCTAGGGACAATTTAGAGTTACCAGTTACCAGTCTGTGGGAGGAAGCCGGAGTACCCGAAGAAAACCCACGCATGCACAGAGAGAACATGCAAACTCTACCAAGAAAGGTCCCCGGGCCGGCATTTGAACCGGCGACCTTCTTGCTGAGAGGCATCAGCTCTACCAACTGAGCCACCATGCAGCCACCTCTTTCTTGTCATTCAAACAGAATATCAGGGATGCAATGTGGGGGGCTAGCGTTGCCTCTACACATTTTGAAAAGGTGCGGGGGCGCAAGCGACAGACTGAATGGGAGTACAAGGTATTGGTAGGCTACGCCTTTGAATGCGAACCTCAGAAATGGTCTGTGGTCAGGGTGTCACTGTGTGAAAGTGTCTGTTAACCAACCGCCCGGACTGACAGAATGTAGAAGCTGCTTGAGCGTTAACATTTTGAACTTGTACGTTCGTAGAACCCTCTCCCCAGCGACACCTTCCAGCTCGTCCTGGGGGACTCCGAGACGTTCCCAGGCCAGAGGGGATACATAATCCCTCCAGCGAGTCCTGGATTTTCTCCAAAGTGCCAGACTTATTTTGAAAACATTTTAAAATGCTTATTTCAAACCCGCATCTGAGACCACCTGTGACCACGCGGGGGGGGGGGGGGGGGMTACGGTGCGCAACGCTGTGGCTTCTGAATAAATGAAAATGATTTAACACAGTTGTTTATACTTTTAGCAGCTCTTTTTATCCCACAGCTGACCTGCTAAAAATGACAGATTTTCTTTTCTGGATCTCTGACAGACGGACTTCAATCTCTGAACTCGTAAAGTTCTTTTAAGTTTTCGCTGTCATTTTCATGAATGGACTCTTCCTGATATCTGAGGCAGGAAACACAGCCTTATATGGTGTTTTTGGGGTGGTAATTATGCTAATCTCCTCTCGCGTGCACGAGCAGCTGGATAGAACAGGTGTAATTTACGCAGCTCATTTACACACTTTTCCTGAAGATAGAAGAGTTTGTTGAATCTGACGTGACATGTTCGTACGAACCCTTCATACGAACAAAAGTAAGAGAAATTTAGGATAAGAATACGAACATGTTCTTGCATGAGGCCCATTGTGTTGAATGGGGTGAGATTGTGCTTGGGAGACTGTGAGGGAAGCACAGCACCTGAACTAAACAAACAAAATGCCTTTAGAAGGACTGAATCTTTTTCCTTTGAAACATTGAGTTTTACTGAAGACTCGGAGGGGGGCCCTTGCTCCAAGCCGAATGGCAGGGGGGCTTGGCCGTTGTTCTGAGGCTGCACTGACTGGGTGCTCAAGCTCCCAGGCAGCACCACTTTCTTTGATGGAGGAGGTTGAACAGCCGGCTCATGCGTGTAATCTGCGGTGATTGTCGTAATTTAAGAGAGATAACAGCGGGCTCCCAGGCAGCACCTGAGTAGGGAGGAAAAACCCAGCGAACCTCGACTGTACAGGCGTGCATCTCAAAAACTGGAAGTAGAGAGGCCCTCTCCCCCACCTGCACAAAAACAGATAGGAAAGACGTGTCATCCTGGTCCACCTCTGCGGCAGTGGTGACACCTGGACCTGAACAGAGATCCTTCTCGTCTTCTGACAGACCATGAGCATCAAGACCAATGTCCAACAGGTCCTCGTCTCCCTGGTGGAAGTCCAGCTTAAACTGGGCAGCATCCTCTCCTTTCTCAGCTAACACATCCATGTAGTCCACGTGGTCCGCCCAGCTGGAAGCAGGGACTTTGACCGGTAAATCCTCCTCATCAGACCCGGATGAAACTGGGTTAGCAGACTCTGAGAGGAGTGGTTTCTGCTGTGAGACTGCAGTCTTTCTCAGCACTTTTTCTAAAAACTTAACCTGTCTCTCTAATGTCGAGTGACAAAACTAGTAATGAAACGCACAGGTTTGGGCTCTGCCAACACTCTCCGAGCATGAACGATCCCCAGACAGGCCAGCAAGCCTCATGCTGGTCCTTCTCATGAAGTGAGAAACCGCACCCCTGAGAACAGGGTCGAACAGAAGACTTCTGCTTTCTTCATGTTAATTTTGTGCTCATCACGAACCACCAAATACAGTGTAAAGAAAGGAAAAACTCAAAACTAGCACATTGCGGGCAGGCACGCTAACCAGCAGGTAGCAGTGGCTAAGTCAATAGCGGCTCATCACTCGTGTTTTGTAACATACACTCTAACAAGGTTGCCTAAAATAATTTCATACTCTGTATAACACACACACACACACACACCTACCTACCGGCTGGGCTGCTGTGTTAGCTTCCTGCTAGCTGTGAGGTGGTCTTTCCTCTCTTGTCTTGGCAGTAAAAGGGAATAAATGTACATTTCCCCGTCTTCTCATCTCTGATGCTGGCTCTTGAATGTCCTCAGGTTAGAAATGCCGAAACAAACGTGAGCTTTTAAAGATAAGTTTTCCCTGTAATGCTATGATCCACAGCTGTCACCTTTACTCCTCATCAAGAGGAAAAAGGATAAAAACTACTCTATTGTACCTGCTGGTTAGTGGACACAACGGCACACAACAGAACTCACGCTTTATACCAGTAGCTCACAGATGCTTTAACTTTTGTGACTTTTTCACGGACTTGTACTAGGAACTAACACTAAAAACAAAGGCAGGAAGTGGAAGAGAGGTGCGTGGCTGGAATTTTAATGGAAATACGTCATCAGTGGCCGTGGCATATAGGTTATTTTAAGCAACTTTTGCATCATACAGAGCTAACTAGAAGCAGCTAATTAGCATGACTCAAAGAGATGTTCTTAGTGAAGTGATTAGCGTAAGAACTGAGGGATGACAATGATGAGCGACAGTATATAATGCAGGAGGGACCTGTCATCTGCATAAAGGCGTGATTAGTTGCCTTTAGCCAGGACACGCAGGGTGTGGTGTCCCGTAACTATACAACCCCTGGCAAAAATTATGGAATCACTGGCCTCGGAGGATGTTCATTCAGTTTTTTAATTTTGTAGAAAAAAAGCAGATCACAGACATGACACACAAATAATTTCAAATGGCAACTTTCTGGCTTTAAGAAACACTAAAATAAATCAAGAAAAAAATGTGGAAGTCAGTAATGGTTGATCTTTTAGACCAAGCAGAGGGGAAAAATTATGGAATCACTCTGTAAGTTTTCATTCCCAAAACTAACACCTGCATCAAATTAGATATGCTCATTAGTCTGCATCTGAAAAGGAGTGACCTTAGAGAGCTGTTTGCACCAAGTGGACTGACATCAATCATGGCTCCAACACCAGAGATCAGTTGAAACAAAGAGGATTATCAAACTCTAAAAAGAGGGTAAATCATCACACAATGTTGCAAAAGATGCTGGTTGTTCACAGTCAGCTGTGTCTAAAATCTGGACCAAATACAAACAACATGAAAAGGTTGTTAAAGGCAAACATACTGGTAGACCAAGAAAGATATGAAAGTGTTAAGTCAAAAATCTTAAAGTAATATGTCTACAAAACAGAAAATGCACAACAAAACAAATGAGGAATGAATGGGAGGAAACTGGAGTCAATGTCTGTGACCGAACTGTAAGAAATCGCCTAAAGGAAATGGGATTTACATACAGAAAAGCTAAACACAAGCCATTATTAACACCTAAACAAAATAATAATAATAAGGTTACAATGGTCTAAGGAAAAGCAATTGTGGACTGTGATGACTGGATGAAAGTCATATTCAGGGATGAATGATGAATCTCTATTGGGCGAGATGATGATGCAGGAACTTTTGTTTGGTGCCGTTCCAATGAGATTTATAAAGATGCCTGAAGAGAACCAGTAAATTTCCACAGTCATTGATGATATGGGGCTGCAGGTCAGGTAAAGGCATTGGGGAGATGGATGTCATTACACCTTTAATAAATACACAAGCTTATATTGATATTTTGGGGACACTTCTTATCCCATCAATTGAAAGGCTGTTTGAGGATAATGAAATTATTTTTCAAGATGATAATGCATCCTGCCATAGAGCAAAAACTGTGAAAACATCAGAGTTGTCAACTAGTGAATTACAAACACTTTGTCACCTTACTTAAGTAGTAATTTTAGTTATTTATTATACTTTACTGGAGTAATTATTTTTTACTTCTACTTCCTGGGACATGTTTTATTTAGTAACTGATTATTAAACTGACTCTTGTTTAATAGCATATTTAGGTGGGAAATCTCCTGTCCTTTGGTCATCACAGGAGGTACACACTCCTGTTGTGGAAAAAAAACTTTTTTCTCAAAGTAAACATTTAATGACCAACTTTTTTCTTTACACAAGTAAGTTTGCTTTATTTAACAGTAAACTTTCACAAGAATAATGGTACTTTTAATTGTACGTTATTTTAGTACTCTTTCTACTTTTGGAAATGATCCAGTGCTGTAATAATTGTAACCAGACAGAACACAACTTCCCTTTAATAAGATGTCTGCTTGGTCTAATTTTATTGACATTAGCAACAGCTGAGAGTTTGTCTTCTGTTTACACAATAGTACACAACAGATCTGTCTCACTTGGTATTTGAACTAAATAAAGTTATGAAGCTGAATAAACCTGTAGCTCACCAACTTTATCACGATACGATACATCGATATGTTTGGATGACGATTTGATATTTCTCTATCACAAAGTCTGTCACGATATGATTTTGATTCAGTTCACATCTCTGTGATTGATATAATACAATAACATATGCCCATCTAACACTGACTGTTAGATGGGCATATGATAAGGATTCACATTGAGAATATGACAACGATATAGATCAATATTTTCATTTTGCCTTGATATAACTGAATCATGAACCATTCAAGTCGATATCGATATACAGTGGTTTGCAAAAGTATTCATACCCCTTGAACTTTTCCATATTTTGTCACATTACAACCACAAACATAAATATATTTCACTGGAAT